GCAAACCACCTCTGTTCTCATCTCTTGCCTTGAAAACCCAACAAGGTCACCATAAGTCATCTGTGACTTGATGGCATTTCCCACCACCAGGTTTTGTGCCCTTAGAAAATTCCACATGTTACTGAGTGACGTAATCATGGGAAACCTGGTTTCTGCCAATATCCACCGGGGCAGCAACACTTCTCTTTCAGCATGGTTGGTTTCTGCCAATATCCACCAGGGCAGCAACACTTCTCTTTCAGCATGGTGAAAAAAATGCAGCCAACGGTAGCTATCACAGATGACGCTTTGAATTTACCATATAGTCCAATTGAGCAAGTACAAGTACAGTGGTTTATGGTATTGTGTCATAACAATCTAATTGAGAATGCTAGGGAATAGGTTGAATGCTGAGGAGATGAGTAAGTAGAGGCTGGGTAATGCTGGGGAGGATTTCTCCTATTTTTATCCCACTTTTCCTTCAAAGATGATGGTGGTAATAACAATAATAATCTCTCTATATAATAATTCTGTTTTGGTCATGAACTCTCCTGAACATTCCACGCGCTCCCAAATCAGTTCGCTCCCTGATCTGTCACTCAGAAGCTGTCCCTATCCACTGGCTGCGTTGCCTGAGTCTTGCCTCCAATATTCTAAACAGTTTGCTGTTTCTCTCCTCCCAGTAGCTAGTTGGAACACAGAGGTCATCTGCATATGCAGCCTGATTGGTCTTTGCCTCTAACATTCTAAACAGTTTGTTGTTGCAAGTCATTGAATGTGTCCTGAGGTAAAATACATATCCCAATTTCCCCTTAAACAGTCACTGGAGTTGCCAAAATACATATCCCAATCTTCCCTTAAACAGTCACTGGAGTTGCCAATCTCCCTGTGGGGCCTGGAGATCTCCCAGAAATCACCGTGTTCCCCAGCCATAGCACATCATTTCCCCTACAGAAAATTTCCCAGCTATTACAATGGCTGCTTTGGGCAGTGGACCCTATGGCATTATACCCTGCTGAAGTCCCTCCGCACCCCAAACCCTGCTCTCCCCAGGCTCTATCCCTCAAATCTACAGGTATGGCCCTCCATTTAGTATTGCCAGCCTCCAGGCAGCACCTGGAAACCTCCAAGATCAGTTCTCCTGGAGAGAATGGCTGCTTTAGGCAATGGACTCTATGGAATTTCACCCTACTCGGTCCCTCCGCACCCCAAACCCTGCCCTCCCCAGGCTCTACTCCTCAAATATACAGGTAGTTCCCAATCCAGAGTTGGCAACCCTGTAACTGGCTATGGAACCACTTTCCAGACCCTTGGAACTCAGAAGACATGGCATAGGAGGATGCGCTTTTCTACCTTAGCTGCCACTGCATAACCCCAAATCAACATAAGTCAGGGGTGGAGGGAACCATACCTGGTCCTCCTATACTACTCACTTGGGGCTGCAAAATGACTTGAGACAGCACTAAGCAGAAGGAAAGAAACATGGCTTGCCTCCCTCTATTTTCCCCTTCCCTCTGCCGCCCCACCAGCCACAGTCAGGACACTCACCTGGAGCTTCCTTCTAGAGCTCGTTGTATTTCTTCCCACAACGGCCCTTACACCTAGTAGTAGTGGTAGTGGTAGTGGTAGTAGTAGTAGTAGTTTTGTCATATGGCATTGTGTGTAGTATAATAAAGAGATCCTAAGATTGTCTGACAGCTAGAAGTTCTAGCTCTTTAGATAGACAAAAGAGCTAGACATTATTTTTATTGAGGGAAGAGATTTTCAGAGGTGGTTTGCTACTGCCTGCCTTTGTGTCATGACCCTGGTATTCCTTATAGGTCAGCCATCCAAGTACCAGCCAAAGCCCACCCCTCAATTTTATCACAGCAACTATTCTTTATAACAGAATGGGGATTCCAGTATCCTGCATTCTTGACTTGTTATCTCTGTAAGCAGGAATTCAGGCACTGTGTACCTTTAGAGGAAGTTTTTTCTGTTGCTGGTAGAGGGCTCCAAAATGCTTATTTCATTTATCTAAAACATTTTTATGCCACCTTTCCACCCAGCTTAGGCTTCTCAAGGTGGCTAACAATCAAAAACATTAAAACAAGCTTTATAATACATAGTACAACATCTAAACAAAACCCATACACAATTAAAACACATACACAGGAAGGAGGGTTAGTGAGAGAATGTCAAAATGGATAAATCTTCATCTGCTGGTGGAAGACTATAACAGAGGAGAACAGATGGATGTCCCTGGGGATGAATTCCATAATAATGCCTAGTCTGCCACCAATTATCTTCTTTCAAAAAAAAAAAAATAGGGGGGACCAAATTGGAACCTGACCATCAGGTCTACTCCCCCCCCCCCGATGTATAGCTGGCCAAGTGGGGTGGACTGTGGAAAGCAGTATGTGAGCTGCCTGGCTGACCAATGCCGGGCATAACTGCCCAAAGTCTTCTGCCCCCATTCCTCCACCCAGACACAATAAATGCCGCAGGTTAAGGCTGCAAGCCAGACCTTTTCAGTTTCTGCTTAGGGTGATAATAAATTTACATAACGCTCTTTGGGAAAGAATGCTGGACTCTGCTAATGAAAAAGGGGGGGGGAAATCTGGCCACGTGAATAATGGTGTCTTAGATTCTACTGTTCTGGTTTTCTCTGTTTTGTCATCTTCCTTTGTGTTTGTTTTTCTTTATTATTATTATTCTTCCTTTGTTCCCACCGTTGTATTCAGATGACCTGGCTGCACAGCCATAACCAACCTATGAGGTGTCAGGGTGAAATAACATATGGTTGACTGAGGGCAGTCAAATAACACAGTCAAGTGTGGGTATTTCGGATCTCCCTATTCCTATACTCCGCAGTCCTGTGATTGGTTGTAGAAGATGATGTACAATTAAGCCAATTGTGTGCTTGAAAGACACATCACAGTTGTTGATAATGGCATATGCATTATCATGTGCATCAATGATTTGCATCTGTTCTTTTGGATAATAATACAAAATGTCATGTGCAAAAATGATTTGGAGGTGCATGAAGAAAACCGCATGCTGCTTTTTAGGCATAAATGTTATGAAAATGTGATGCAGGCATACTGGAAGGTAGGAACGTCTGTGACCATGACGGCAAATTTTATAAACCCCTTGCTGCCAAACAAGACATGTTCTTAAATACTTTGAACAAGGATGGGTTATTTAATTGATGCATAAGAAAGATGCATCACATTTGTCTGCAATGAGGATACATATGTCTGTTTGATTCAAGGCACCGCAAAATTCTTCGTTTAAGCCTATGCTTTCTGCACTTTGGGAACATTAAAAGAAAAATCTGTACCCTGAGGAATCTGTTGCTCTTTTGCTATACTGAGAGCAGTACGTTGAAGACACTATAGCCAGAAACAAAGCCACACTACTTTTCTAAATATAGGATGACCCCAAGGCTATATTCCCTGATCAAACCCTCACCATTTAGCATTGCAAAAGAGAATTTATATACTGTTCCTATTTTTATAGAGACTATACTAATTACAGTACAGGTCAGAATAAAGAATGGTGTGCTACTGGTTAATTAGAATGTTAAAGCTTTGCAGCGAGAGAAGCCAAATGTATTTTTAATGTTATAGTTCAGGAGAAATTGAGATAATTAAAACAACTATGTATATTTAGAGGGCCATTTCTGCGATGCTAAAAGGAGGTTATAATGTTTTCAATTTGTTATCCAGCTGGGTTAAAAATAAAGACATCAAAAAGAAGTAACAGATAAAATACTAGTAAATCACACATTTAAAGGGCAGAAGGCATCGTTATAGTAATACAAGTTTGAATGGGTTATCATATCGGCACATGTCCTAGTGTTGGTTCTAGACGTGCTATGATTCTTCACACTGAAAGGCAGCAAAAAGAACCAAGAACCAGTCCAGTGAGCGCATGGTCCATGACCATATTTGGCAGGCCCATAGCTCCCAGGGGCCCTGGGGGGCTAAGCCCCCTCACGATTGTGCTGTGCCCTCTTCTCTCGGTTCCCCTCCCCCAGGAGGTGGAGGGAGCCCTGGAGCTGGTTCTGGGCATGCTGCTCTTGGTTGCTGCCAGGAGCCGCCTCTGCCCATAATCAATCATACACTCAGCCCCACCTCCCACAGATGAGTGATGACAGCATCAGTCACTGGTGTACCTGCAGCTGCCCTCACTTTCCTGAGAAAAGGAATGAGGAACAGTGCTAATCAACCTTGGCAGCCAAGCCTCCATTACAAGGCATGGGTGGGTAACCAAATGCAGGGGCTGACTACATCTGAGGTTATCAGATTACTTAGTGCAAGCAACAGAGCTTGCAGAGTTTCCTCCACAAAATCCGGGTTTTTGGGAGGCTGCGGGCTGCTGCCAGACCCTTCCGAGTAATTGAGCCCTGAAAAGATGAGACTTGTGAGAAAGAGGCAAACAAGCGATTGCCCGTTGGATGCCTTGGGAGTATCCTGCAATGCTTTGAGTATTGATGTTATTGTAACAGGCATTCCT